AGCAACGATGTTTTGGATCCAGACTTCTGTGATATGTCACTGCTACAAAAATATTTCAAAACTTTGCCCCGCCCACTTCCGCCCCCACAAAGGGCGAAAATCTGTGGCATCCACAATTTTAAAGATACGAGAAAACCAAAAACGCAGAATCGTAGAGAATGACCATATCTTTTAGACTGCGGAATCTGAATTGGATCGTATTATTATTATAGCCAGCATCAAGAAAACAATTTCATTTTTTCTCGCCCTGTCTCTCTCTAACACACACGTAGCATAGGCGGCTTTGCTTAGAGTAAAACATTAGCGCCTAGATCTCAGAGACTATAAAAGCTAGTGCAACCAAATTTGGTATCCACACTCCTAATATATTGGACCGAGACGAGTTTGTTTCAAAATTTCGCCACACCCCCTTCCGCCCCCGCAAAGGATGCAAATCTGGGGATATTCACAAATCTCAGAGACTATTAAAGCTAGAGTAACCAAATTTGGTATCCGCACTCCTGTTAGATCTCACTATAAAACGTATATCTCAAAATTTCGCCACACCCCCTTCCGCCCCCACAAAGGACGAAAATCTGTTGCATCCACAATATTGCAGATTTGAGAAAACTAAAAACGCAGAATCATAGATAACGACCATATCTATCAGATTGCTGAATCTGGATCAGATCAGATAATTTTTGTAGCCAAAAGGAACAAATCAATTTGCATTGGCTACGCAGCGCCCGACGTCACGCTCAGACTGATTTTCTGTCTCTCTCGCACGCACTCTTTGTCGTGTCGTTTAATATTAGACGCCGCCTGCTGGAGGAGAGCCATACTGACTTAGTATCGGGTATAACCGTAGAGTTGCGGTCTCCGAAGCAACTCACAACGTTCCCCCTCGTTTAGTGTATTTCCACGCAAAGCACCTGCATTGTTTACCTTTTCTCTTTATCTATTCCTCAATTGACTACGCGTTGCAACACTGCACTTTCTGAATTTTCGATCTCATTTCTTTAACCCCTTCTTCCCCCCCCCATTGTTATTATCGTAATTAGTGCGGTTCTCCGACACCCCACTACAAAATTATTTCAATCTGTGATAAATCTTCGGCGGCAACGGTGCTGACAATTGAATATCGGTTTCGTAATCGACTTTCAAATCAGCATCAGTTGCCGCCACACCCCACTACGGCCTAAATTGAGCCAAAAATGCTAGTCTTCGCATAAATCAACTACGTTCCCTATAAACTGCCCGCCCACATGTACATGTTACATTCCTAGTCGTCTGCCCTCAGTAGGCGGCAAGGGTAGTAGAGGGGACTGAAGACCACATACCGCATTACAGCCAACAAAACATCAAGTTGACGAACTCACAGGGGATTGCAAATCAAATTTTAAGTTAGGGAGAATTACAAAGAAAAGACAGCATACTTTTGAGCGTGGCCCCACTTTACTTTCTTGACTCACACCACACACACACACTTGACACCCTCTTGACAATTCGTACTTTTGGAGCCTTTTGCCCCGATCGTGGAATGGTCTCGAGTCTGGGTCTCTGTCTTAAGTGGAAAGTCGTGTCGTGAACGTTGTGGAGTCGAGTCGTGTTCGAGGTTTAGTCCCTCCGTCAAAGTGCCGAATATTTTGTCTCTCTCTTTTTCTCTTTTTCCCTTTCCCCCCCCTGCTGACTGCGGGCCTAGTCGAGGTTACAAGTGTTTCGTTGCTGCAGTTTATATGTTTGTAAATTAATGTGCCATCAATAAGTACCAGTGTGTTTGAGTGTCGTTTAAAGTTGAATTGTAAAAACAAACAAAAAAAATGTACATATATTAATATTAAGACATATACTGTCCACAAACTGAAATTAATAAAGCAACGCGCTTGGTTGCTGGCGGCTCACACCCCAGCCTCTCAGCTCCTCCCCAGTTGGAGCACTGAGAGCCCTCAACCCAAAGCGGGTATATATTGGTAAAAAAAGAAAGTGATATTCTGGTCAGATTCAGAAGTTACTCTTCATTGGATCAGATCCCACCCTTCGTCGTTGTCAACATTCGTTGCGAACCGAGTAGCGGAGATTCAAGAGTGGTCAAGTGAAGCTACGTGGCGGCATGTGCCAACAAAACAGAACCCAGCAGACATAGTTTCGAGAGGTTGTGACGTAGAGGAAATCGTGCAGTCGATCTGGTTTGGTGGACCAGAGTTCTTAAAGTTTGAAGAAGAGAGCTGGCCCAGAAATCCACACTTCGAGCTTTCCGAAGAAGAGATACAGATGGAAAGTCGGAAGAAATCGGTCACATTGACCGGCGCGGCCAAGTCAAATTATTTAGTGGATGTAATCGAGGGATACTCGTCACACCTCAAACTGCTAAGAGTGTTCGTTTTCGTGTTCCGCTTCATCCGAAAATGCAAAGACAAAAGTCTCAACTTTGGAAAAATTCCGTCATCCGTAGAATACGACGAGGCGTTTCTAAAAATAGTCGAAATAACACAGAAAAATGAGTCTCAAGAAGATATTGAAAGGGTTCGTAAAGGCACCAAGTTAGGCCCCAGTCTTCAGCGCTTGAAGAGGCTGGGACATGGTGCTCTTTTTCGTTGTTGCGAGTTGGAAGGCGACTAGTTAACGCTCCTATGTCATATAATGCCAAGTTTCCCTTTTTATTGACAAAACGCTCGCAGTTTGTGCGACATACGTTCGCTATCTGCATCAAACGAGTTTTCATGCCGGCCCACGAGCACTCGTGAGTATCCTTAGACAACGCATTTGGATAGTGAATGCTCAGGCTGTCTGCAGGGCGACAGTTAGGTCATGTATTCGTTGCTTTAAATGCAAGCCGCTACTCCAGACCCAAATGATGGGCAACTTACCCGCAGACCGGCTCCGTGCTCTCCGCCCATTTTCAGTATGTGGCGTTGATTTTTGTGGCCCAGTCTATACGACTCTGAAAATTCGTGGAAGGCCCCCTTATAAGTCCTACATAGCGTTATTTGTCTGTTTTGCGTCCAAGGCGGTTCATTTAGAAATTGTCTCCGATTTGACGACTAATTCCTTCTTGTTGGCATTCCAAAGGTTCGTCGGTCGTCGAGGATGTCCGCAACGCGTGAACTGCGACAACGCGACAAATTTCGTCGGAGCAAGTCGCCACTTCAGCGAACTGCGGAGGAAGATAGAGGCGGAAGCGGACGCGATACGCGAATTTGCGTCAAGAAGCAGGTGCGAGATTGCCTTCATACCGCCTCGAGCACCGCACATGGGCGGACTTTGGGAGGCCGGTGTGAAGTCTGCCAAGGGCCTACTCCTACGGGCAGTCGGAAGCGCTCTCCTCACCGCAGAGGAGCTGGAGACCGTGCTGGTCGGGATCGAGGCGGTACTCAACTCGCGCCCGCTAGGACCCCTAAGCCCAGACCCAAGCGACGGAGACATACTGACTCCCGGGCACCTGCTGACAGGCGGGCCGCTCATCGCACCCCCAGCACCCAGGACCCCGGACCAGGAGGGTCTGAGCTGCTTAAAGCGATGGCGGCTTGTCTCGTCAGCCAGGCAAATGTTCTGGCAGCGATGGTCCCGGGAGTATGTGCTGGGATTGCAAATAAGATTCAAGTGGCACCAGGAGGAACCAAACATCAAGGAAGGCGACCTCGTAATCGTCGCCGAGGACAACCTGCCCCCTCAACAGGGGCTCCTCGGAACGGTGGTCGTTACAACCGCCGGGCAGGACGGAAGGGTCAGAGTGGTCGACCTAAGGACGAGCAGCGGAGCCACGTTCAGGAGGCCAATCCACAAGTTGGCTCTTCTGCCACTGGTTTGAAGCCTTCCAGGCCTTCAACGGGGCCGGTGTAGCGCCATTTGGCGTATAATAATTGTTATTAGGATCGTATTTTATGAAGTCTAGTGTAAGTTAGGCTAGGGCAAAGCGGGAGCGCAATATAAGCTCGCTGTCTCGCTCTTGGCGAATTCGCCCCGCTTTGCAACCGTAGGTAAGATAGGCGCAGAAGAAATTGTTTGAATATATGAAGAGAAGTCGAGAAAAATCTATAATCGTCGTCGAAAAATACAAATTTGCAGTCACCCAAGTTTTTCGGTCTCTTTATTTTAGAAAAACTATTCTAAATTTTCAGGAATTAATGATGCAGTATCGAAACTTTAAAGGAATCATTTAGTCACGGCACTTTGTAACGGCAATGCCTTATTGTAAAATTAAACTTATTTTTCGCTGAAATATTTTAAAAGTTAGGCGTATGCCAAACCTTTCTTTTTTATCACCCACTTATACAAAAAAGATTCTTTAGCGAGCGGGAACGAAATTAACTCTGAATTATGCTCGCACTTGTCATGAGATAGGAGAGTGGAACTTTTCTCCCTCTCTCTCTTTCTTACACAAAAGCCCGCCGTTCTGTCTCGCTTCCCTCCGCCAGAGCGAACACACTGCACGAGAAAGAGTGTGTGAGATGGATAGAGAGATCGAGAGAGAATGAGTAAGCGCGTGGAAGGCGATTTGGTCGTTATAATAACGATCCGATCTCATCCACATTTGACAGTCTAGTAAATATGGCGTTCTCTACGATTCTGCGTTAATTGTGAATGCCACAGATTTTTGGTCTTTGTGGGGGCGGACGGGTCCAGGTGTCTGGATATACAATTTGGTTGCTCTAGCTTTCATGGTCTCTGATATCTAGGTGCTCATCAAGGACGCTCATAGGACGAAAAGGCTTCCTTCTGGAAGTTACACTCATCCAGAGCCACATCTATTTGAGTACCATGGCCCTTCAAGAGTTCATGATTTGTTAGCCCCATTTGTCAAAGATATACATACTCGACATGTTTACTCCTCCGAGGACAGCCAAACCAAAACAGTAGTGAGTGAAGGGCCGATGTCCACTCGTTTTTAGATTCTGATCCTTTCGAATTTCCTGAATGTACCGACCAAATAGCCCTTGAAGTGAGTGTCACTTTCTCATGGAGTACATTCATCGCCTCAATTTGGCATTCTCTATTGCTAGAAATTGAACACGAAATACGTATATTCTGATATTTGGTACATTGTGTGGGCTTAACGAAAAATAATGCTTGGCGTTGTACGTCGGCTGGTCTCCCAGGCCTTCCCGCAGCGCCTGCGACCACGTCCCCAGGCTATCCAGCGCCGCTCCGCCTCGCAGGCGGTAAACCAGATGTTGCAGCTCCAGCAGATGGACATGTGTGCGGATCCTCCATCCCGCGGACTTGTGGTCGGCGTGTTCGCCGACGAAACGGACCGCAATGATGCTGGCGTCCTCACCGCGGCCGGTTGGCGGTACAATGTCCAGAAGACTGCCGGCCGATTGCTAGAGGTCCTCCGCATGTCCGGACCCATGCCCAAGCGGGGCGAGGCTCGCCTTTTCTTCGCGATCGAGCCAGAGCGCATCCCCTACTACTCTGTGGTTGCTGTGGTCGGCCTCGGCAAGGAGTGCCTCGGCTACAATCCCTACGAGGTGCTCGACGAACAGAAGGAGGCGATCCGTCGCTCCGTGGCCGCCGCCTGCCGTATCCTGGCCGAGCTGGACACCGACAGAATCGAAGTTGAAAACTGCGGCCACGCCGAGTCCGCCGCCGAGGGGGCCGCATTGGGCATCTGGCTCTACCAGGAGCTGCGTAACCCACAGAACAGGATTCCAGTGCCGTCGCTGGACTTATACGCAAGAAAAGACGAGGTCTGCGACCTCGAAGGATGGCGCATTGGTCTGCAGAAGGCAGCCGCCCAGAACCTGACGAGACAGCTGCAGGAGATGCCCTCCAACCTCCTCACACCCACAGCTTTTGCGCAGAATGTCGTCGAGGTGCTGTGCAAATCCGGTGTCAATGTGGAGGTCAAGGTCGAGGGCTGGGCCGAGAGCCAGTCAATGCACGCCTTCCTGGCTGTGGGCAAGGCCTCGTGCGAGCCACCCATCTTCCTGGAGCTGAGTTACTACGGCACCTGTGCCGAGGAGCGCCCCATTGTGCTGGTGGGCCAAGGCGTGACTTACGATGCTGGAGGATTGTGCCTGAAAGAGAAACATGAGCTCTTCCATATGCGTGGCGACATGACCGGGGCCGCCGTTGTGGTGGCCTGTTGTCGAGCTGTGGCTGGCCTGCGTTTACCGGTAAGTACTCAGGACAGAAATGATATCTCCTTGAATAATAATGCTGTTCTTAGGTCAACATTCGCGGCCTGATACCTCTTTGTGAAAACGTAGTGGGCTGCAATTCGGTCCGTACTGGGGACATGGTCAAGTCCATGAACGGCAAGACCATCGAGATCCAGTGCACCGATCACGAGGATGTACTGGTCCTGGCAGACGCCCTGCTGTATGCGCAAAACTTCTGTCCCAAGTGCATCATTGACGTCGGCACCTGCTCGGGCTACATGCGGCAGGCCCTGGATGAGTCGGCTGCGGGGGTCTTTACCAACTCGGAGATCCTGTGGCAGCAGATCAAGCACGCCAGCATGCATACCGGAGATCGTGTGTGGCGCTTCCCATTGTGGAAATATTACAGCAAGGCCGTGCGTGCCGGGGGACGCAGCGATGTGCAGAACTATGGCATTGACCGAGGTGGACGTCCCTGCAAGGCCGCTGCCTTTCTCCGTGAGTTTGTGCCCTGTGGCCAGTGGATGCATATTGTGAGTATTGTGGGGCGCTTTGTTGGGGCGCAGATCTTATGGATTTTCTCCCTCAAAGGATGCCACAAATGTTATGGTGACAAAGGGCTTCGAATACGAGTATCTGCGCAAGGGAATGGCCGGCCGCCCGACCCGAACACTGGTGGAGTTTATTGCTCAGACGATTTGCAAGGATACGGCCCCACGTTTGGCCAAGTAATCAATCTCTAACGGGAATCCAATGTTATATATATTTTTTACTGTGTTTTTTGACGATGCCACACACGAACACAAAAATACACTTGAGCTATGATCACTCTATTTTACATATGTTTTCGCATTTTTAATCTCCACACAAACACATGCGGCACATTCGTTTATTATGAAATTGTAACGTATAAAACAGAGAAACAGCGCTAGTGTTCGATCTTTTGTTGGGTCCTGGGCTTCCAACTATTGAACATGATAACTAGACACTGTGGATTATTGCTTTGTCAGACTCTACCCGGAATCGGGTATTATATGTAATATCTGTGGTATCACTAAAAGTGAGTGCTACGCCAGGGAGACTGCATGAGTAATCACAACGTTTATGTCAATGGGTGGATAGTTTTGCAGCAGCTTCACATTCGAGGCAAAGTCGTTCTCTAAAATTGCTTCCCTTTGGATTCTATAAATCAGTAAATACATCAGTAAATGCAAATGAATCAGTTGAAAGTCAGCGCATGCTTACAATATCTTGGTTCAGCAGATTTTGATGAGAAAATTAAAGCGCTGCTCGTCCGAGAATACCTAATCCCAAATTCGCAGCACATCGGGCAGTGGAAACTCCTGCGAGAGCAGGAGGGTGAGCCACCTGAAGCTGTAGTACTGCGGAGGCAGCTCTTGGCTCTTCAGATGCTATATCTTTAGTCTTCAGCATGTTAGATAGCAAGCCCATCATGAACTTTATACCACCCTCCGCATCGTCCAGAGTCTTGATGAAGAAGTAGCGTATCTCGCTCATTAGAGCCGTGAAGCAGAAGAAACAGTCTGCCTCCGCGTGGGCGCGGTACGAGAGATCCGGATCCGAGGCCATCACATAGTAGATGGGTCCAACAATCTCATTCATGCCCTGTACGTAACCCAGGCCAGGACGTTCGCCGAGCTGAGCACCGTGGGCACTACCCGTTTTACTGTGCACCACAATGTCACAGGGATACTCTGTGGGCTGCTGAAAGAACGAGATGTCGGGACACAGGCGCCTCACATCTTTACCGATCTGCAGCAGAAATTTGTTGTCATTGAAGAATGTGTTCCAGGCGCTTTCTGGCCCCTCGCTAAGCGGATGATCTTGTAGGCCAACGCCCCTTGAATCAACAGCGACGTCCCCGTCCCCGTCGCCTTCTCCAGCTCCATTGCAGCTGTGTCCCGGGGGGAGTACCAATTCCTCAATGAACTGCTGGTACAGGGCTCGCTTCTGGGCCAGCGTGGTCGTCCAACTGCTGCGTCTTGGTCCCAAGTAGCCCAACAGCAGTTTCCAGCTGAGTGCACGGAAGCTTTGTACATCGGGCACACCTGTGGATTGGATTGGATTCATGTCCATGAATTACTACGCCTATCAGAAGTGTGATATCCCACCATTAAACGTCAGTCTGCGCAGCTCCTTTAGGTCAACCACATCCTGGGCCAGCGCATCATCGAACTCTTTTACACTGAAAGATACAGGGGGGGATAACAATCTTTTTTTCTTAATTCCCGAAAACACGTCACATTTTTGTGTCGTCCATACCGCGCCTTGAAAATGGACATGCTTTGGCTGTATGCGGGCGAGGATCTCAGTTTGCTCCATGCAGGGACAGTCGCTTTGCAATGATGTGGACTGGACTTATATTATTGCTTTGTTGTCATCCAGCCAGCTGCATTATTGCTTTTTCCAATACAGTTCGAAGCAGAAACAATTTTGATATTCCGTCGAATATTTTTAGATATCTAGATCTCTCAGCCCTGCCCACATAATTTTATCCGATTAATGAATCAATTTTCTACTTAACTGTCTTGTTTTAAATACTTGACTTTAATTGTTTTTGCCTCAATTTTGGTTCCTCAACAACAATATATGTATCTGAAAACCCGAACTTAGCCCTCTTAAGCCCCCTCTATTTAAATAGTTCAAATACTGGAGGTAAATGACGGAAAATATTAACGATTGTAAATTCTTCTTGTAGACTCATGCTACCTTTCCTCTGAACTTAAAAAAAAAAAACACTATATCTGTTCAGCCACAGACATGTAAATCGGAGTCGAGCATTACTACTCGCTGCTGCTACCAGATCAACAGCTAAGCTGGGATGGATTGTGGCAGGAAAAGTCAAATCTGCCCACAATTCCTCACCCATTTGTGCAACGGGAGTAAACGAGCTCATGGAAAGATTCTGCACTCTGGACAATCTAGAGACGGAAGACAAACCACGCACTCCAGTGGAAGCACGGTGTGAAGCTCATTTTATAGAAAATCTTCAGACAGCTTCAGACGGCCGTTTTATTGTAAAGCTCCTATTTTCCGAACACCCTTCAGCCCTGGGGGAGTCGTTGGAAACCGCAACAAAAAGATTCCTAGCGTTGGAGCGGCGAAGCTCAACAGAAACTTGGAAGAGTTATGTGGACTTCATGGAAGAGTATGAAGGACTAGGACATATGAAGATTGAGCCAGCATCCATTCTGCTACGATTTCGAATTCATAAGTACGTATTCACAGCGGACATAGAAAAGATGTACCGCCAAGTGTGGATGAATCCGGAGGATCAATTCCATCAGATGATAGTCTGGAGAAGCAATCCATCCGAAGAGATCAGGTACTATCGCCTGAAAACAGTAACATATGGGACAACAGCTGCTCCGTTCCTAGCAACGAAATGTCTGGATCATTTGGCAATACAATACAAAGACAGACTACCAGTAGGATCAACAACATTAAAAACAGATTTCTATGTTGACGACTGTCTAACTGGAGCAAACACGATTTCAGAGGCAATTCATGCTCGACAAGAACTAAATAAGATATTTCTACCGTCCGGATTCAAATTGCGCAAGTGGTGCTCCAACAATGAGCAACTTCTCCAAGGAATCCCCAAAGAGGATATTGTAACCGATGTAAAATTAGGAGAGACACTAGAGCACTACAGCGTGAAAACTCTGGGTCTCATCTGGATGCCGAAGAAGGATACATTGTGTGGACGAACACAGAAAAGCCAGGCTACACGCATCACCAAACGGGTGGTATGTTCCGAACTGGCCCAAATCTTTGACTCTTTGCACCGGTGGTAGTAAAGGCAAAAATCTTCATGCAACAACTTTGGGAGCTCAAACTGGATTGGGATAACGAATTACCATTACAACACCAAACCGAATGGAAAGAATACCGGGACGACTTACAAACATTGAACAAAATCCAAATTCCACGGCATATCTACGATGGTAAAATTCCAGTTACCCAAGAACTCCATAAGTTTGTAGATGCATCAGAACGAGCATATGACGCAGCATAATATATGTACGCGCTACATACAAAAACAACCAAGTGTCAGTAAGACTGCTCTGTTCGAAATCACGTGTGGCGCCGACAGCCAAACAATCACTACCACTGTTAGAACTTTGTGCTGCAGTGAGCTCACAAACCGAGTCCGACAGGATCTGCACATGGACATTACAACGGTTTCAGGATGGTTTTGGAGTGATTCCACCGTTGTTTTATCCTGGATAAACGCATCGTCATCAACATACCATACCTTTGTGGCAAATCGAATAGCCAAAATCCAGGCATTAACAAATCAGACACAATGGCGTCACGACGTGTCATCGGCCAACAACGCAGCCGATGTCCTTTCGAGAGGAATCGCATTGTGGTGCTCAAGCATTAAGGGCAATCGCAAGACAACAATATTGGATTATCAATGACAAGACAATGGCTAGAAGCATCATCCACAGCTGTGTTAGATGCACCAAGGCTAGACCAAAGCTGATACACCAGATCATGGGCAATCTCCCAGCACAACGAGTCACACAAGCAAGCCCGTTTCTTAATGTAGGCGTCGACTACTGTGGACCAATCTCGATCCACCATAAGATCCGAGGCAAAAGACCCGATAAGGCGTACATCGCCGTGTTTTGCCTGCAAAACACGTCATCTTCAAGCTGACGCTACCGCTGGTCTCAACAGCTCAGCTCGAAGTTTTCAGCATCATCCCAATTCCGTTTTGGGATTCAACAAGCTGGAGTCTATTTGACCTCAGAACCACCATAGTAACGGTGAAAATCCACCGAGACCAGTTCATGGGCACTACCCAAGAAGAATTCCGACGTTGTCTTCAAGTACACAACGAGGAGTTAATCTGCTTTGACCATCAGACGATCTTCAATGTGGACAATTGCTATGAGTTTCAACTGTTTAACAATAAAACAGAAACACTCTGTCAGGTAACACACACAAAGGATGACACGGTGTGGCTAAAAACTCAGCATCCAAATAAATGGATCTTCGCAACGCATTCTACAACTAAACTTCAAGCAGTATGCAACGGAGTTCCGACAACCATAACACTGAAAGGAACTGGTCTACTCTCCATATCCCCTGGTTGCACTGCTCGCATTACTGAAGTAAGCATCAGCACCTTCAGCACCACAATTAGCGAAGTAAAATCGACTTACACTCGGTTTGGCGACGTGAGCCCACCGAAGACATCACCCTCGCCATTAATGTGGCAACTGAAGAACCAGACATCAGACTTTCATCAAGAACTTGATGATCTACGCCAGCAACTATCAACCATCAATCATCACGAGCTGCCACACCATCTCACCACCGTGCAGCACCATCAACTCGCGGCTTACGCAACCCTAGCAATATTAATTCTATTGATCATTGCCTTCATTTTCCGGGAGAAGTATCTAATATGGAAACCAAGGCCATCAAATCACGATCCAGCCATGTCATCACCCCCTATACCCCTTGCACGCCGGTTTGCCGTCGACTTGAGCGATGGTTGAACACCAGTTCAACGGCCGGGAGAATGTTCAGCCACAGACATGTATTTAATGAATATTAGGAATATACAGTGCAATCTCATACACAAATACTCATAAATAAAATTGTCCATGTCACTTCATGTGAATGAATATGACGACACGAAAAATACATTAGCAACTAAGAATAGACAATAGCACTTGTATACTCGAACCCACCAAAAGGGATCAAGCAATAAACTATTTACTTTATTGCTGCCAAGTACCTAAGTAAATGCACTGAAATGTAACCCCCGCACAGAGTAAGTGTACCCAATCTAAAAATACACTCACAAGGAGCCTGTGCGTTCCTTCCCATAGAATAAGAGTACCACTGCTAGCTATATAAGGAGATGCATTTGTTCAATAAAACTCAGTA